TGACTGTCTCATATATGCTCACTATAGTTCCCTAAATCAAGCGCTACAAAAAGCCACAAATCATCTCAATATTATCAACGATTTTTATAAAAATGGGGTGTTAATATTAATGCAGCGAAATCCGAGGCTATATGCATTAGAAACGCATCAGGCAAATATCACGGCAAAGTTGTGCCTGAAAGCAAAACACTGCGTCTCTCCCTCGATGGAATCGACACCTATTCTCCTCTAATCTAAAACATTTGGGATACAATTTGACAATCTGTTAAAATTCAACTCACATGGTAGTTCAATAAACATCAATAAACATTACGTAAACCAGACAAAAAATATTGCAACAAATATATTTACGAGATCTCTGGTATACAACCGTTAATAACTTATGATCTGCATCATCAACAAATATTTGCCGAAAAACTCGCCTTCCACGATAATGACCTAATAAAGGAAAGATATAAGGTAGAACAATCAATACGCTGGTCAGGTTCAGCTTACTTATCACCGGTTGGAATTCTTAATGAAAACCTAGAACATACTCCTGATCAATACGCACTGCCGTCCTTTTACATCAACAAATATTTGCCGAAAAACTCGCCTTCCACGATAATGACCTAATAAAGGAAAGATATAAGGTAGAACAATCAATACGCTGGTCAGGTTCAGCTTACTTATCACCGGTTGGAATTCTTAATGAAAACCTAGAAAATACTCCTGATCAATACGCACTGCCGTCCTTTTACACAGGAATAATACCTACAAGAAATATAGGATAGGATATTTATTTATATAAAAAATTAAACCTTAAAAAAAACTTATCATCAACTTTATTTTATATTTATACCCTACACCACAAGGTGGTCAGGGTATTATGTCTTTGTGCATTTGTTTGTAACATGAAGAAGGAAGCGAGATAGACCCATAGTTACTTTTGAGGATCTCCATAGAATCACTTTCTGAGTTGATTTATGCAGCCCGTCCGCCCGTCTGTCCATGTATTCTTGTGAACAAAATGCAAGTCGCATTTATTGCCCTATCCAGATAAAATTTTGCAGAAATCATTTGTTTGGCCCAAGGACGAACCCTATTGAAATTGGAGATAATTGGTCAAAATTTAGATATAGCTCCCATATATATCTTCGTCCGATTTTCCTTTTATTGTGCATCAGTCCGAATAGTATGGAATTTTGCACATACGATCAGATGCCAAATTTGATCGAAATCGGTTCAGATATAGCTATAGCTCCCATATATATTGTTCATCCGATTTGTTATTTTTGTCCTCCGCAGCCGTAATATGCACTCTGTAACAGGGGAAATATATCAAATACAGCTCAGAAATACATTTGCTAAATTTTATCACGATCGGTTCAGATTTGGATATAGCTCCCATATATAACTTCGTCCGATTTACCTTTGATTGCGCACCAAACGTCTAATATTTGCCCAAATGGGATGAAATTTGGCACTTACAATCGAATTGAGTCTAGAAGCCAGTATGTCAGATTTGGTAAGATCGGTTCAGATATAGCTATAGCTCCCATATATACTGTTCATCCGATTTGTTATATTTGTTACCCACAGCCGTAATATGCACTCCGTAACAACGATATTCAGGGAAATATATCGAACACAGGTCGAAAATATATTTGCCAAATTTTATCGAAATCGGTTCGGATTTGGGTATAGCTCCCATATATATTTTACCCGATTTCAATTGTGTCTTGATCCCGGACTTTCGGGTCAAAAATCTGGGGTCCCGGGTCCGTCCCCCAAGAAAAAAATAGTTTCCCGGGATCAGGGTAAAAATACCTACCTCTGGAAAAAATTTCGAAAAAATCTAAGAGTTTTTACTAAACTAGAGTTGTTCCCATTTTTTCAGTATTTCTTTTTATACTATCCGCACGTAGCATATTGCCATATCACTGTTTTTAGAATAATACAACAACCATGGTACAATGATATCAAGGTAGGGCTATGATACTATATGATTTTAATTTTTTTATTTTCTTGGCTTAATTTGTCATCTTTATTTGTTTATGTATGTATGTATAACAGAAAAATTGTTCAGAAAATATTCAAATTCGGGTATTTTCAAAATGTTTATTTCAACGTATGCATCGACAAAATCTAGAGTATTTGTAGCGAAATAATCCTTTAGAGATATAAAGTACATGATTTTGAAAAGAAGTATTGAACTTTCATTCAGTTATCGCGTTTTTCAATTATTTATTCAAAATAAATGCAACAAGTTGTTTGATTTTTCGATTGTTTTGATAGTAATTCTGACATTACAAGCCAAACAGGTAGACCTCTATACTTGCAATTTTTTCAAAGTTGGCCTACATTCTCTTCACTGTACCATGACAACAACAGTTCTAAGTATTTATGTTATCATTCACGATAAAAGATAAATGGAAGATGGTCTGACCTTTTGCTTATCGGACAGTTCATACTTAAATGAGTTTGTAATAACGAAAAACTATCGGAAAGATGTAATAACCGGCCTATGGCTGTCCGATCAGCTTCTTTTTTATTTTTAAACTAAAATGAAGATGCCATCGTGAAAAAATGCAGTTACTACCAGCTACTTTTACAAAAATTTTTGCCATATCTCTGTAAAAAATGCTTATATTTTAAAAGAAAGATGTAATAATGAGAACCCGATGATGTGAACTTTATACTTCACTTTTCCTAAAGTAAGGGATAAAAAAGTGGACTATAAAGGAAAGATATAAGAACGGGGCATAGGCCCGTTCAAGGTAGATCTAACAGGTAACCGCATCGGCGAATTGCTACAACAAAGCAACTTTTGTGGTCCCCTCAAATGTCAAAATTGGCATCTAAGGCGAAAAACATAGATTCGCCATGACATTTAAAAGTTGCGGCAAATTTGTTTCAACCAATCAGAAACGAGGTGTTTGTTTACATTTTATTTTGTGTCCCTCTCGTCGTAAACGAACGTCGCAATAAAAGTTTTTATTGTAAAACAAATAAGAGTAAAATAAGTATTAATTGTAGTATTGCGATATTTTTTAAACAAAGAAACTTATAATGACTATATTTTACTGGTTTAAACCGAAAGTTTTCCGGAACTGCAAATGACAAGAGTCTAATTCTTGCACTACTTCCCGTGATGTGCTTTGGGAATCTTAGATGTTGAGGCTAACTTAATTCTTAAAGCTGCACTCCATTCTAACCTCCTTCCTTCATGTTCTTTAAATTTTTTACTGGTTTCACTCTTAACTTACTCTTAAATTATTTGAAATATTATAAAAAGGTACTTTTAGGGAAGACAACATAAACAAATTTGTTGTTGCATTCATTTAGGGCGAATTCTTCACTACAACAATTCGTTTTGACATTAAATGGTGCCGTCAGCTGGGCTGATGCGATTACCTAGTACATCTACCTTGGGCCCGTTATTACATCTTGCCGATAGATTAAAAAGTGATGTTGTCGGACACATAAATCGTTTTTCATTATTGCAAGTTTCATTTAAGTATGAACTGTCCGATAAGCAAAAGGTCAGACCATCTTCCCTTTATCTTTTAATATAAAAGTTGTGTTCCAGAACCTACAAATTAGTACTAATGAGTGCTAATTCTGCTACAACGCGTTCCCGTACTCCAAAAACTAGCAAAACTTACAGCTCTCTCGAGAAAAAAATGGCGCTGTGTGGTGCACATTTCTGCTTGTTTTAGCTACATGAATTTGGCCGAGCAGAAATGTGAATATTATAAATTTGACATTTAATTGGCAGGGCTAACAAGGTTTAAAAAATGTATTGATACATTTCAATGTTCGCTCGTCACAACAAAAATTAAGAAAACGATCAACTTAAAAACTAAAGGAAAAACTAATAATTGTCGTGCAAAAAACAAAAAGAGGAAATATGGAGCAACTGATGTATTCACTTTTGGATGATTCCAGCAGTGAAGAGGACTGGCTGAATGAGGAATCAGATTATTAATTATTATTATAGATTATTAATTTTAACTTATCGTCTTCAATACTCATTTTTTTATATTGGCGTCCTTTTCAGTAAGGTTTCACCAGTCCGATTTAGACTGTTTACTTTTGGAATTTTGACATTTTATCGCATTTCTGCTAATTTTCCCTTATTTTTTGAGCACACCTAAATGAGAATGACATTTTGAACTGTTCTCTCTTCTGCTAGTTTTACTACTAAAAAAGTACTGGAACACAACTAAAGTTTACTAAATTCATGTTGCCATCTTTTTTATTGATAATGTGGCAATAACAGCAAAATTTATTTAAATAAAAAAATGTATAAAGCAAGTCGTTTATTTTATATTGAAGAAATAAAATTTTTGAAATAAATTTATAATTCAGTTCTTCAATATAAAATAAACGATTTGCGTGGCTTGAGAACATTGATACGTTATAATATTTAAATTTTTTTTTTTTAAATGAGTAAATTTTTATAAGTTTCCTTAACCGACACCAATCGGGTGTGGTTATGACATGCATTTTTCAACAATTTTTACAAACGTGAATATTTTTTTATTCCAAAATTTTCAATTTCAAAATTGGTTTGACATTTTATTGTACCAGCAGCTCCGTCGATGCGACTACCTGTATTCTTTTACCATGCCTAATAAACAAGTAAAGCCATATGTTAATGGATTCATTGTGCGTACTCACTAATAGATTTCTCAAATACCGGTTGTCGAAAAATTTTAAATAATCGGTTTTTATTCTGTGTATGTAGAGCGGTTGAGCCGAATAACTCTTCCAAAATGACTTGTGATGGTAAATAGATCGTACTAAATATCTAAGAATATAATTTGGGAATCAGCTACTACAATATGTAATTTTCAAAATTGGTATAGAATAAATTTATTTACCTCGTCCATTCTATAAAAACTAAGTGTAACAGAATGTTCTATACTATACAAGTTCTTTAAATCAATAAAGGAACACGTCTGAGAGCACCGTACTTATTGTACGAAATTTTTGATTTGCATGCTTCACACAAGTAGACCCTCTTTTCCATCAGTGGTGAAAAGTTCATACAGCCTACTGGTTAATCGTTGGTTTATATTCATTGTGCATTTTATACTGTGCTTGTAGTTCGAATTCATAACCAAAAAACTAGAAAGGGAACTGTTGAAGTGTTATTCCGATCACCAAGTATTTTAGGATTACTCTTTAACACAAATATGTCTGAGCTTCAATCATCGCTGTTACTAAAAAAACAATTGGCAGGTAAGAGGCGGTTTGTAAACGGAACATATTAGAAATGTGATGTGATATGTGTGCATGCATCGGTAATTTTGTCATCTAAAATGTTGAACTTATGGTCATTTTATATCGATATATTATTTGTATTGTATATATTCGGTGCAGTGCGTTGATTTTTGTTCGTGGTGGTCGGGCAGTTAGAAAATGTACACATCATTTGTATGTCTTTGATATGAAAAACACCGCGTGTTCTAGTTTACCGGCCTATTCGGAAATCTTTATATTTTCTCATCGTCTGCAATAACAAAACACTTTCTTTGTTGGTGGTACTCAACGACCTCAGCCTAGTCTTAAAAATGCCGAAAAAAAGAATAATTTCGACAATTTGTTCATAATTCCAATATCTTTTCTGCACCTTTGTTATGTGAGTCACTTCCTTAATATAGTGAAGGGCATTGCCTCTTGTGCGCATAAGAACCAATTAGTCAACACATGTACGACAGAGAAAAAATCCTTTGTCCGAAGTCGAACATATAGGCCAACCCTTAGTTCTGAAAAAGGTAAAGTTGAAGAGATGTTGCCTTTTTATTTTTGCCTACACCACATAGTGGTAAGGGTATTATGTCTTTGTGCATTTGTTTGTAACATGAAGAAGGAAGCGAGATGGACCCATAGTTACTTTTGAGGATCTCCATAGAATCACTTTCTGAGTTGATTTATGCTTGTCAGCCCGTCCGTCCATGTATTCTTGTGAACAAAATGCAGGTCGCATTTATTATCCGATTCAGATGAAATTTTCAAAACTACATTTGTTTGGCCCGAGGACGAATCCTATTCAAATCGGTAAAAATTTAGATATAGCTCCCATATATATCTTCGTCCGATTTGCCTTTTATTGTGCACCAAACGTGTAATGTCAGCCCGAATAGTATGGAATTTTGCACATACAACCAAATTAGGCCTGAAAATAAGTATGCCAAATTTGATCGAAATCGGTTCAGATATAGCTATAGCTCCCATATATATTGTTCATCCGATTTGTTATTTTTGTCCTCCGCAGCCGTAATATGCACTCTGTAACAATATTTTGGGAAATATATCAATGCAGCTCAGAAATATCTTTGCTAAATTTTATCGAGATCGGTTCAGATTTAGATATAGCTCCCATATATAACTTCGTCCGATTTACCTTTTATTGTGCACCAAACCTCTAATATTTGCCCAAATGGGATGGAATTCGGCACATGCAAGTGCATGAGTATAGAAGCTAGTATGCCAAATTTGGTGAAGATCGGTTTAGATATAGCTATAGCTCCCGTGTATATTGTTCGTCCGATTTGTTGTATTTGTTACCCACAGCCGTAATATGCACTTCGTAAAAACGATATTCAGGGAAATATATCAAATACAGCTCAGAAATATCTTTGCCAAATTTTATCGAGATCGGTTCAGATTTGGATACAGGTCCCATATATATCTTTATCTGATTTCAAATTAATTTTGCACCAAATGGACAATAGAAGTCCGAATTTAAAAGATACAAAAGCTTCGGCATATTTAGTCTTTTGAACTTTAAATTATAATTATATTCAAGCGTGTATGATAAAAAATTCTCCCATAATTTAATTTTTAATTTTTTTATTTATTATATTATATTATATTGGCAACAACTCAAAATCGTTGACAACACTCCCTTGTTATTGACAAAATAAGATAAAAATTTGTTTGTATTTTGAATTCTAATTTCGTCTCTTTCGGAAAAATAAAAAATATAGTGTCTCGTCATCAGCATTTTCCACCGGCTCATTTTCATGATCTATAACGTCTGTTACAATTATGTTTTCCGTATTTTTTACTCCAACTGCACGACCTGAAAGCGACAAAGTCATTTGCTTAAAAATACCACCTCCAGTGCTGCTGGCTTCACCCTTATTGTGCACAATTGTTTTTTAGTTTTACATTTTAAATCTTTCCAAACCTAGAAGAACATTAGAAAACTTACTAATAAAAACATAAAAAAATAATTTTAACTTTAACATACTTTTGCCAGTCTCTAATCGGTGACCGTTTACATTTAATTTTGTAGCAATGGATTCCAATCTAATTTAAAATTAGCTGGAAAATGACCTTTGGTAAACCCTTTTGCCAAACATGGGTGTTTTTTATCCAATTCGGAAACCAACATTTCAAATTGTTTTGCTGTTGTTATTTTCATGGTCAAATATCAAATACAAAAAAGTTACAATATCACCATCGACTAAAAAATACAATCTCGACACAATTTTTTAAGGCGACAGATTTTCTTAAAAATCGACTTCACGTCGACTGTTGTATCGAAAATTATAATAGCAATCATTTGTCGCTATCGACAAAAAACGACAACCCTAATATCATTATTGTCGCCTCGACTTCATTTTGCGACGCCGACGACAACCATAATAGGGCCGATTATAATTTTTATGTGGAGCTCTACTAAATTAGCAAGGTGGGGTTGGGTATCATAAAGTCGGCCCAGCCCGACTTTAGGACTTTCTTTGCTGTTTTAAATTTGAGATTACAGCATCTTTTTATTTCAGAATTTAGTTCAAGGGATCGTCGTAGAAAATATAGGGGTCAACTTTAGAGACTTTTCAAAATGAAGTGTTATGCTAATGACAGAGCAAAATTGAATGTCAATATTGGGAATTTCACAAGTTTGATTCCAAAATATACCAATCACGATTCGTGGAACGTTGTTACAGAAATCAGTTGTTCGCTATGTAATTTTGGGAATAATTACACAAAACAACATATTGAAGTTTAAGGTCTATCCTCTCACTCGAAGCCCACTTTTTCCTACTGATGAACTTGTTTTCTTGGTTGCAGCTTTAATCGCATAGAAGCTATAAATGTTTAGGTCGGGTCTAGGATCCTTTTGAAATTTTTTATCATAGGTACGCATTTTTACTCGATTATGGAAAAATATTAATTTCCTTATGGAAAGACCCGGTTACCAGGACATTTAAAATGAATGTTTGGATGGGTAATTTCTTGTATTTCCAAAATGGTGCAAATGTGTCAATATCTTTTGTATACCCTACACCATACTATGGAGGGTATATTAACTTTGTCATTCCTTTTGTAACTCCTCGAAATACTCATGTCGGAACCAACAAAGTATATATGGATGCGGTAGAAAATTAAGTGCACAACTTTTGTTTTAAAAATTGTATTTGTTTGTTTTGTTGTAGTTTATTTAATACTTCTGAATTGTTTATAGAACAGATGTATCTTATGTATTTAAAAAGTACTTAAGACTTATAATAGAAATTCAAAAACTACATAAAATATTGCCAATTCGAGAAATTCGTAATTTTTAAGTGGACAATAAAATAGGTGTGAATAAAATATTATAAAAGTTAAGCAATAATTGGTACATAATGTTTATTTTTTGCATGTTCAATATTATCCATTATTAAAAAAAAGTTGAGTTTAGGGGATATACTCGGATTGAACTGAAATTTTTACCACGTGTAGATATTTTTAAGCTGATTATGGCAAAGTAATTTTTGTAAGGAAATACTCGTTTATTTAACCCGGAAGTTCGGATACAAAATTCGGGTTTTATCAGGTTCTACAAAAATGAAATGTTTTGAAATACATATCTAACAAGTGGTCATATGGTAGGTTGGTTTCAATCGGTTCCGGAGTAATACAAGAAAATTTGTATTTTCGTACCGGAACTTTTTGAAAACCCCATAAAAACTCGAAAATGGGCCCATTATAGAGTACTAAAAACCGCAAACTACATTGTAGCCTGCACTCTGATGTTTCTAAAATGGTGCAATATGTATTGATATCTCTTGTAGTCCCGAAGTTATTAGTGTTGCAAATCATGAAATTGGGATTTTCTCCACTAATATGTATTTAATCTTTATAGCTTTGTAGTACCGATGATATTGACTTTAAAGTCGAATTGCGGTTACTTCCAAAAGTTATAAAGTTTAGAGAAACTGTGGATCGCATAGCCGGTGTGAGACATATCCCAGCGGAGAAAACCCCAAGCCTCGGCCGCAGGCCCGCTACTTACAGAAATTACAATGTTTAGAAAAACTATAGATCGCGTAGCTGGTGTTGGACATACCCCAGAGGAGAAAAACTTAAGACACGGCCGAAGGTGGGCTACATACAAAAACAAGTAAACAAACATTAAGTTCGGTCGGGCCGAATTTTTAATACCCTCAACCTTAGGGTAATGGAAATACTAGAACCAATTGGCAAAAATTATCAAAATACCGAATACCGGGATGTACCGTTATATATATATCTCATTTTTAATACAAACAATCCTAGACATAATATAAATTATTCTGCTAAATTTTTGTAATGTATTTACATTAGTGAAAACACTTTTGTTCAAGTTCGAATGCTTAATGATCTTTATTTCTTTTCATCAACATAAAGCTTAAAACTAACAACCAGTATGTGTGTATGCATGTACAAGCAATCATGTATCTTAATCACTCAATGATAAATAGATGAGAGTAAGAGTAAATGAGACTTGTAACTGCATACAGTAAACAATAATAACAAGAGGAAGAAGATCATATACTGTACATTAGGATGGTTCGTGCTACAATGTGACCATTGTGTATTAGGGTGGAACGCTAACACAAATACTCTATATGCTCCCCCTAAAGTTGGTAATTAATATAAAATGTTAATATACAACATATTTTTTTTTTTTAAGATTATATGACAATTGAAAAACAATAAAAAAAAATTACATTATAATGAAAATTGTTTTCAATACTTGTTAAATTTGTGAATATATAACAATGAAATTCATATTTTGTTACAATGCAAGTAATTGTAAAAAAAAGGTACTAATATTACATTTCAATGAAAAAAAAAAGGATTTTTTTTTTAATTTAAGTATTTGGATTTCTGCCATGATTTTTGACTACTCTACCTCCTTCTCTTGGCCTGAGTTCTCTTCTAGAGTGTATAATCTCTTCCGTAACTTGATTTTCACTAGAAAAATT